TTTTTTTGGTTATGGAGTCTCGCTCTGTCTCCCAGGCTGGAGTGGAGTTGCACAATCTCGGCTCACTGCAATATTTGCCTCCTGGGTTCAAGCGATTCTCATGCCTCAGCCTCCCGAGTAACTGTGATTACAGGCGTGTGCCACCATGCCCAGCTAATTTTTGTGTTTTGTGTAGAGACAGGGCTTCACCATGTTGGTCAGACTGATCTTGAACTCCTGACCTCAAGTGATCTGCCTGCCTTGGCCTCTGAAACTGCTGGGATTATGGGCGTGAGCCACTGCGCCCAGCCTGCCTGGCTAATTTTAAAAATTTTAGTAGAGATGGGATCTCATTCTGTTGCCCAGGCTGGTCTTGAACTCCTGAGCTCAAACGATTCTCCTGCTTCGGCCTCCCAAAGTGCTGGGATTACAGGTGTGAGCCACCACGCCCAGCTGGATAGACGGTCCTTTTTTTTTGAGACAGAGTTTTGCTGTTGTTGCCCAGGCTGGAGTGCAATGGTGCCATCTCGGCTCACCACAACCGCTGCCTCCGGGGTTCAAGTGATTCTCCTGCCTCAGCCTTTTAACTAGCTGGGATTATAGGTGCCCACTACCATGCCCTGCTAATTTTTGTATTTTTAGTAGAGAAAGGATTTCACCATGTTGGCCAGGCTGATCTCGAACTCCTGATCTCGTGATCCGCCTGCCTCGGCCTCCCAAAGTGTTGGGATTACAGGCGTGAGCCACTTCACCTGGCCCCGGGTAGACAGTTTTATCCCCATTGAACAGCTAAGAAAACTGAGGCCTTCTCAAGCTGGCTCTAATCTAGTACAGTGGCCTCCTCTCCCCTCTCCCACAGTGCAGGACCCCTGGAGACGCCACCTCTTTGCTCCCTGCCTTGCTTAGTGTGAGTGTGTTCTCCACTTGGAACGTCACTCCACTGCTGAGGCTGTCTTATTTGCAGAGAGCCATCCTCCCTCCCTCTTCGGTGGCTGCCTTGGCCCTGCCTCGGCCCCAGCAGGCAGTAAGCTTTAGGGGTACAGGGCCCCACTGGATTCCTCTGTGGGCACCTTCCAGTGTCAGAACACATGGGTTGAATGATGACCAAACCATTTGTCCCAAGCCCCAACCCTGGTAGTTTCTCTGCTAGCCCTGGCCAGTGAGGCTGCCTACATGAAGGAGGCCGCTGAGCTCTCTGCCACGCTCCCCTCTGCGCTGCAGCCCCTCCCTCCACCCCCAGCTCAGGCCTCCTCCTGAAGCCACCTGGCTGACTCTTATTCTTTAGCTCCCCGCTTAGGCTTTGCCCTTCTAGGATGCCTCCCCTCTCCTCCAGCCTGTACTAGGTGTCCCACCTCTGCCTCTTCCATTTATTCAATTGGTCCTCAACACACATGTATTGAACACCTAGTGTTCGTGCGCTGGTATCCCCTGAAGGCCTGGCCCATCCTAGGCCCTATCGTATCCTCCCAGCACCCAGCACTGGCTGAACTGGCTGTGCCCTGCTCTGTGGTTTCTGCAGCTGCACCTCGTGGAGTCAGACCCCAACCACTTTGCATCCCAACTGGTGCAGACCTTCATCCACTTTGACACGACCGAGCACCAGAGGGACGAGGAGAACGCTCGGCTGCTGGCAGAGCTGGTGCGGGCTCGCGGCCTGAAGCTAGACGGCTGCTTCTCCTACTGGGACGACTGCCTGGTGCTCACAGCCTTGCTCTGCCAGGAGCTGGGTCTGCCTTGCTGCCCCCCAGCTGCCATGCGCCTGGCCAAGCACAAGAGCCGCACCCAGCTGCATCTGTTGTGCCACCACGGCCCACCCTGGCCTGCGCCCTCCCTCCATGCTGTGCCCTGCTGCCCACTAGAGAGCGAGGCTGATGTGGAGAGGGCCGTGCACCAGGTACCCCTGCCAGGTGTCATGAAGCTGGAGTTCGGGGCAGGCGCTGTGGGTACACGGCTGGTAAAGGATGCGCCACAGTGCCATGAGCACTTTTCCCGGATTACCCGAGACTTGCAGGGTGAGGCTGACCACCCAGGCATTGGGCTGGGCTGGGGCAATGCCATGCTGCTGATGGAGTTTGTGGAGGGCACCGAGCACGACGTGGACCTGGTGTTGTTTGGTGGGCGGCTGTTGGCTGCCTTTGTCTCTGACAATGGCCCCACGAGGCTGCCTGGCTTCACTGAGACAGCGGCCTGCATGCCCACTGGGCTGGCACCGGAGCAGGAGGCGCAGATGGTGCAGGCAGCCTTCCGCTGTTGCCTGGGCTGTGGGCTGCTCGATGGGGTCTTCAATGTGGAGCTCAAGCTGACCGGGGCTGGGCCTCGGCTCATCGAGATCAACCCCCGCATGGGCGGCTTCTACCTTCGAGATTGGATCCTGGAGCTCTATGGCGTGGACCTGCTGCTGGCTGCTGCTATGGTGGCTTGCGGCCTGCGTCCCGCCCTGCCCACCCACCCACGTGCTCGTGGCCACCTAGTGGGCGTGATGTGTCTGGTGTCCCAGCACCTGCAGGCCCTGAGTTCCACCGCCAGCCGTGAGACCCTGCAGGCCCTGCATGACCGTGGCCTGCTACGACTCAATCTGCTAGAGGAGGCCCTGGTGCCTGGCGAGTACGAGGAGCCCTACTGCAGCGTGGCCTGTGCCGGGCCCAGCCCCGCCGAAGCCCGCCTCCGCCTGCTGGGCCTCTGCCAGGGCCTGGGCATTGATGGGCCCAACTACCCTGTTGCCCACTTCCTGTCTCACTTCAAATAGCACTGGGCCGGGGGCAGGGAAGCAGTGCTGGGAGGAGGGACTGCAGTGCCCTCTGCTCCCTGGAGCTCTTTCTGCCTCTCTCCCCATCGCCATGCCCCAGCCCCAGCCTGGCCCCCTCCAACAGCTAGGTCTGTTCCAGAGTAGCAGGGCAACTTTGTCACCAAGGCATCCTGCACTCAAGGGCCTCTTGCCCTCCCAAAGGCCCCAGTCTAGCCCACAGCTTCCCCAGCATTCAAGCCTTGAAGATGTGACAATGACTGCACACACACACACCTCTGTCGCCACCTCCCCAGGTGGGAGCGGGCCCAAACCCAGCCCCTCCTGCTCACCCCTCTAGGTCTCACTCTCTTCCTGCCACCTATAAGAGGAGACAGCTTGGGGTGGGCCCCAAGCCTTGGACAAATCCTAAGAAAACCTGAGACTAGAGCCCTTGTCTTCCTCTCACCCAAACTCTAGGATAGCTTTAGAGCCTGCTAAAAAGTTAGCAGCATCCAACCTGCCTCATTCGGCCTGAGCGGTAGAAGCAGGTGACCTGTGCACAGAAGTCATCCTCTTCCTGCACATCCCCGGAAGACACTACTGCCCACGTTCTCCAGATGAGAGGAAACAGGCTGAGAGAAGAAAAATGAGTGCTCCACGGTCATACCACAGTGGAGGGAGGGTCACAGGATAGGAGGCAGGGCCAGCTTCCTGTTTTGATCAAGTCTTACACGCCCATTCAGCTTCTACACTCCCCTCGCCTCCCTGCCCTCGTTCACAAGTGGCCCTGAGCCATGTGAACACCTGCCTCCCACGCATCACAAACCTTCTCCACCACGCTTTGGTGCTTTGGCCTCTGGCACACCTAACTAGCATTGGCAGAGGAGAGTCTACTCTCTTCCTCATTCAGGGAAGATGCTCTAAGAACTCCTGCCTTTGTGCAGCACAGGAGCTGTAGACAGCTCCCCAGGCATCCCTCCCCAAATAAAGGCTTATGAACTAGTGAAGTGTCTAGATAGGTTCTCTTGACTGGACAACTCCTCCCAGGATCAGATAGATAGGGGGTGGGGAAGGGGGAGTAGAGATGGGTAGGGGATACTTGTAGCATCTGGAGCTAAGGGAAAACCACCCCACTGGCTTGGTGTCTGGGTTGATCTGGGTTGGCAGGGGCCTGCCCTACACCCATGTCAAGACCGGAAGCTGAGGATCTCCTTTGGTGGAATTACAACCAGAGGACCATATCCAACCAATCACCCTCTGCGTGCCTGGAGATCCCTGCATTCTGTCCATCTCAGTTCATACCCGACATCCCCTGTGCAACTGGAACGCACACCTAGACAGCCTCCAGCAATCAGAACTCACACGCGAGGCCTGGTATCGCCCAAATTCACACCCACACATCATCCCCATCCTACAAGAATCCATACTCAATCTTTCAATCTTTTTTTTTTTTTAGACACAGTTTCAGGCTTGTTGCCCAGGCTGGAGTGCAATGGTGAGGTCATGGTTCACTGCAACATCCACCTTCCGGGTTCAAGCGATTCTCCTACCTCAGCTTCCCAAGTAGCTGGGATTACAGGCACCTGCCACCACGCCCAATTAATTTTTGTATTTTTAGTAGAGACGGGGTTTCACCACATTGGCCAGGCTGGTCTTGCACTCCTGACCTCAGATGACCCACCTGCCTCTGCCTCCCAAAGTGCTGAGATTACAGGTGTGAGCCACCGTGTCCTGCCAAACCCAATCTAAAGTCACAGACCAGATTTGCTAGTTAATTCTTTTCTTTTCTTCTTCTTTTTTTTTTTTTTTTGAGATGGAGTCTCACTTTGTTGTCCAGGCTGGAGTGCAGTGGCATGATCTTGGCTCACTGCAACCTCCACCTCTCAGATTCAAGTGATTCTCCTGCCTCAGTCTCCCAAGTAGCTGGGACTACAGGTGTGCACCACCACATCCAGCTAATTTTTGTATTTTTAGTAGAGACAGGTTTTGACATTTTGGCCAGGCTGTTCTCGAACTTCTGACCTCAAGTGATCTGCCCGCCTTGGCCTTCCAAAGTGCCGGAATTGCAGACATGAGTGCATGAGTGACCCTGCTCAGCCCGTGTTCATTCTGTCAACAAAGTTTTTGTTTTTTGCTGGGTGCAGTGGCTTATGCTTATAATCATAGCTCTTCGGAAGGCCAAGGCAGGAGGATCATTTGAGTCCAGGAGTTCAAGACTAGCCTCCTGGGTAACAAAACAAGACCTCCTCTCCAAAAAAAAAAAAAAAAAAAAAAATAACTAGGAAAAA